GCTTGTGGTTACCGGAGCTAGGTTTATCGATGCCGCAAATTACCAAGAGGCGATCCGTGTCTTTGGCGGATAACACGTTCGGTCGTTGTTCGACTTCATGCGTCATACAAGAAAATATGGTAACATTACTAGTGGGCCATAATGTGTTATCCGATGGTCGAAACCCATTTCTTATGAACCGTGACAGCACTCAAGCCGTAGCGGCACAACCTGACTTCAACCAGGTCGGCGTAAAAGATTGATACACTTCCGGCCGGATTGAAGCATTGTTCATGACATCGAGGAGTGATAGATGAGTCATCGTTATTGTCTAATTGGTGTCCCGTTCTGACTGCCATAAAGCCATCTTTCTTGCAAGGGCTCTGGGGAAAAGAAGATCTTGCTCGTAAAACAAAAGTAATAAGAAGTACCATGAAGATCGTAAGATCGTATCAACTGTGTGTCTCCGATGGTGCTAGAAAGCTTCTCTCAATTGAAGTGAGCATCCCATAGATGTTGCATAAGGTCGTGTCCGTTTCCGCCAAATGAATCATGATCGCATAGATGGCATTGCCAACGATGGCCTTCGACACCATGATCTTCCAGATGTACCTTGTAGTGTTCGCGAAACTTCTTGAAGGAAGTCCAGTATGTCCTTGGCTTCAGTTCCCTGGGCTTACAGTTCCAACAATTCCCTGGGCAGCCTCGTCGATGGGTCTTTACAGGCCCTGGAATGTCCATAGCTTCTGACATGGTTACAGACTCTGGTACATTCCTGGATTTATGCCTCTCCATGATAGTGGTGTATACACGGCTAGCGCCTTGGAAAGAAGCATCTGGCTTCTTGTCAAAGTCTTCGGAAGGCTCGCGCATAAACCTGATAGACGTGGGTCGGGCTGTGAATACAAATATGTTCGAGCTTGTAGGCGCTGCTGATACCAGACGGGACTCTGACCCAGGTCAGTTTGGCAAGATGTTCAAGCTATATATACTGACCGACTCCATGGATCCTCTCCAGTAGTTCATTTGCTTGGACGCCCGAGATGATATCTAGAGCCTCATGGTTGCCAGTCTCCTTTGAAGCTTTGTGGATCTTGACAAAGTCAATAATCTGCTCAGGTGTTAAACCACTTTGAAGCAGGAGTTGTATAGCTTTGTTTTCGTCCACGGTGTTTGGAAACTTGGCCGGTGTTGAAACCTTGAGATAGGTATCCGGACCAAGCATGGAAATATCTTGCTTGGAAGGGAAAGGGATACCCTTTGGAATGCCAAGCAGGTCGTACAAGGTTGGAGACATCGAGCGGGAGGGAATAACTTCGTCCGATATCTGGATCTCCATGCCGGGAGGATGTCAGTCGACTTCCAAGAGAAAGGAATGCTAGGGATTGCGATCACGATGGCGGCAGTAGAGCGAAGAGCGATAGTCAAGCGTGCTCCAGTACGGGTATGTCGTGAAAATGGCGAGCGAGAGGTAGCGATAATGAGTGAATGAGGGAGAGGAGGTGTATAAAGTAAGGATCGCATTTTATGTAAAGAAATTGAGGGAGAGAGCCTTGGTCGACAGCTAGATTTAGCACCCATTGTGGACAGACTATACCGACACCACTCTGGTAGGCTTGAAATGTCGGTTTTGCAATCTGTCTGGTAACCGTGTCGAAGATGTACGTTGGTCGCGACATGCAACGAATACGCATTGGGAAAGAGCACCGAGAATTCTGACGGCATAATGCGTGGAACTATGAATGTCGTAGAGGCCAGCCGAGCTGCCAGTTTGTTTTAGTGGAGCCAGTGGCTTAAAGTCAATGAAAACCTCGCCTAGGAACGCAGCTGCGACTGTTTTGCCCCGAATGCCATGTGGTGATGATGGTGGCAGTCATGCGGAGAAAGACTTAGCGCCGTTGATCGATGCGAGGGGGTGAAATCTGGAAGCAGAGTAGCCAATCGGCCGAATGTCAAACGGCTACCCTATGGTTGCACTAGGACAATCTGGTCATCTTTCTTGACGTATATGCACTACCCGGCCTCCGATTTGCTCATGCGTGGGTCTTTTCAAGGTATAGAGTCAGGCCTTGCTCTAAATGCGTTTCGTCAACCCCATGAGTCTGGACCCACACTGCTGCGACCACTGTGGCGATGCACAGATGTACGAGACCTTTGGAGTGCACACTCCCACACGCATGCCGTAGCAGTGCGAGCTTATCTCTCTTCGGCGCTTTCGCGAGGAAGAGCCTCATCGCGAAGTCTAGGAAGCAGTATTGGCGGTTTGCATCTTGGCCTGATCCTCAACATGCGATATCACTAAACGAGTGATGCGGGTTGTAGGACCTGACATCAGCCAAAAGCGTTGGTACCAATTTGCGCCGCGAGCAGCGTTCCCCGGACCAGTAGTAGCTGACTACCCGCGTGTCGCCACGATTGCTTGGCTAATCTCCCCATCTTTTCCCCCGGCTTAACATCGACAATCAACACCGCAACCTATCTTTCGTGTTCGTCCCTCTTAATTCCCACCCACACAAATTTGAAAAGGAAGATCAGATTTTGCCTTTTCCTTGACAATGGATCCACCATGAGGCTTCGGCCCTTCTTGATATTCCTCCAGATCTCCATCGGTGAGCGTGTCCGCTTCCGCTTCCGCATTTCGTCAATTTTGCATGACAACCGTGCCTGGTATCTCAGAAAAGATGGTGGTCTATGAACAGCAATCGAGAGAGCCAACATTGATTGCAGTTCAAATTATGTATCCGTAACAATGATGTCAACGGTCACGGATCGGATCTAATTCTAAGTATTCTGGTATCCACTCTCCCGACGCTCCCATTTTTTCTCTGAAATGCCACTGGCTGACATGGAAGTCTAAGCCTTATCCTCCTACATCGAGTCGCCCTATCGCTCGCGTCGTTGTTCGCACCTAGCCCAAGCCCTTCCTCCGCCATTCCCCGCCGCTCGAGAAGTTTCGCGCAGACGACCACCACAGAATGTTTGGCAGCAGCCCTAGTGATGGATGATCGCATACCATTTCGGATCGACGTCAAGACCTCTCATTGAGGAGCGATCAGTTTGTTTACAGGACTAGGTTTAGAGGCCTGCGACATTGTTGATGCGGTCGAATTGCTGTCAAATGCTCGAAAAAGCAAGACTTACATTCATCCCGTATATCGTGGAAACATGGCCGTGCACATCTACAACGAGCCGACACCAGATCTTCCGCATCCTGCGGCTGGTATGCCGCGCTCGTCCTCTCTTCCGATCGTCTCAGTCATGACGAGCCTTACTCTTCAATCCGAACATACCTACCCTCACGAGTTCGGCGTACCCACGACATGCCTTAGCGAGCCAATGGACAAGAGCCTTCCTCTAAGCTCGCAGATAACATATCACACTGCTACGCAGTAGCTAGTTCGTTGCATCTCAAAGGCGACTTCGTACAGTTCTAGAGCATGTCAGGGCTTTGGGCAATGCCAAGGCCGACGACTGCAAATTTGGATCTCGATATCGCGCTGCTGAGGGAAGCGAGGAATGCTAACTGGTAAGCTGTAGTTTGGGGACAATAACGATATCCACAAGTACAGATATGCGACTAGTTCGACATCACTTGCGAAAAGTGTTCCAGGCACGATGAGATGACGAATGCGGGAGGCCCGGACCGAGAACGGGAGCCTACCACGGGTTGATCTCCGCTCGCTCGGCAGTCCCACCATCTCTTAATTTCCCTCCACCCTGCGTCTTCTCGTGTCCGATACAATATCCTCTTTACCGCTCACAACTTCAGGCAGACCACATCTGCTGCGATAGATATGCATTGATTGTACACGAGATCATTCCAGCCACGTCGCCATCGACTTTCACCACTTGGATGTTGCGCTCCGACGTGCGCGTGCGAGTGCGAACATGCAGACTTATGTCTCCTTCACGCCTACTGCCAGTCGCGTCATCAGAAGTATCGATTGATCCGCCTGCGCTCAATATGCATGCAGTATTGCGACCTCTACACAAGTCGTATGATCTATGCGATGAACCGGAACCACTTCCGGAAAGACAACCTTGAAAGATGCGGGAAAAGACCTACAGATGCCTTGAGGGTGCAAATACATGACTGAACGATGAGGAAGGACATTCCAGTTGGTAAAGAGAATGCCGGATACATTGAAGGTTATCCGCCGTGTTGAGTAGAAACACCGCGCGTATAGCGTTTGGATGAAGACATACCCCAAAGTGATCGATCAGAACGACATGCTAAACAGTAAAAAGCTAGCATCCCGGATGAAAAGCCGGCGTGGTGCGCATCGTTGTTAGCAGCCGGCGCGATGTTGAGTTCGATGCTACCGGACTGGTCAAATGTGTGCAACTGAAGATTCTTTGCTCTTGATTAATCCATATCTGTGAAGGAGGTGTTCGGAAACTGCTCTGAATTGGTCTCAGGAGTCATGTGGTCATCCCAGATATGCCTTGCGAGGTCTCTTCCTTGCGATAGGTAAGTGGGGCTGACAGTGTGGCACCCTACAAACAGGTTATACTTCTCGCATTCAAGACACTTGAGACCACCGTAAGTCTTGTACTCTTCCAGATGCTGGGCTTCTAGGTGCTCGTAGAAGGATTTGAATGACCTCCAGGCTCTATGTTTGTGCTCAATGCACCGGCCTTCGTCGCCCGGACAACCGTATCGTGCTGGTTTGGCGGACCTGGATGGCGTACTTCCGGGAGTCGTGCGCGTACTCGGAAGTTCGTTCAGAGAAGTAAATGTCTCTTCGGACGATTGTCGTGCTCGTTTCATTCGAGCTTCTTCAGTCGTATGAGCTTTGGTCGAACTTTTCAGCCCTTTTCACTCACCAACGTTGCTGATTCTCTGTTGAAGCTCTGTCGACGGTATCTGTGATATGATGTCGAGGTCTCGGTGATTGCCGGTCTCTTTTGCTATGATATGATGCTGCACGTATGTAGGAATGTTCTTTGGGTCAGTACCGCGATTTAGCATGGCGGCTATAGCATCATTTTCGATTGATATATCGGTCTTTCTCTGTAGCTCAGAAGCAACGGGAGCAAGAGCTGCATGAGACCCAATCGTTTCAGGTTCGAAAGCAGAATCCTGGTTGTTAGATTCGATACCGACTCCATGACCGAGCTCCTTAGAACCTGTGTTAGAAGCTTCATACACATGGTTTGGTACAACCATGTTTCCAAAACTGCCGGGTATATGTGGCTTTGAGGAAGATTGGTTGAGCCATGAGGAACCAAGCTGGTTAGACATCGAGATGATGGAGATATCGGTAGGGAAAAGAGTCCATGAGATGACGCGTTAGTGATCCGTCATCAAATAAGGGAAGAAATCTGGGGCCGAAGGGCGAAGGATGAAAAGAATGCGGCATTGTTGAAAGCACAAGGAGATATTAAAATAAATCAACTCAAGCTTTGGAAAAGTGTCTTACGTCTAGTTGCGCCAGAATCCTTGTAGTTCAAGCAGCCATGCCAGCAGAATGTAAATCTTGTAAAGAGGTGCCGCTTGCGCGGACAACGCGTGCATTTCGTAGATATCTGGGTCAAGAGGTGCCGCCATGTCTTAACCAGCTACGGTTGGTCTCCAGCATCAGCAACTGACGCTAGCGTTGCAGCCTGAGAGATCCCTAACCCTAACGTGGATCGTGAGCAAGGCTCTACAGTTCCGCAGCGAATCAAGTTCTGACAACAGGCTGTAGAGACCATGCAAGTCAACGATCTGCGTTGCTGTAATACAGCCTTATCCATGCGACAGGTACAGATTAAGCAGCGTTGACTAGTGCGATGTGGGTGAACAGCCCGGAAGCGGCGTAATTAGACATAAGGCAAAGAAGCCAAGCTGTGAATCTCAGCCGCAGGACCAGCTCTGACTGGTCAAATGTCATCGTAGCGTTGCACTCTCAGCCAACGTGAAGGCTAAGCGCATGCTCGCGTATGCAGGTAAGGCGGGGCGGATCATGAAGCGAACCTGGAAACCAATCTCCACCCTCAACTAGCCCGATTGTGCGGAGGTCTTGGGTACTTGCTCGAGCTTCATGTACGACACAATACGCACAATAAATAATGTCATGCACTAGTGAAGATTTAAGAATGCCTTGCATGTGATTGTTGTTGTGCGCACGGGTCGGCCGAAAGACCTCTCAGTGGCTTTCACGGCACAATTTACATGATGACGTTGGCATTGGAAGATCTACAACCATTATTGTAAGATTGCAACCGCAAAAGTCCATAGTCAACGATCCTACTCTTCTGACTTAGATAAACGGGAATACCGAATTCTACCACTCACTACGGCTATGAAACAACACAAAGTGACATTGGTGCGTGGTACCGACAAATGCTAGGATGACCGCTGTAAACACGGCCAGTCGTCGTCGTACTAATACCTCGTGACTGTGACCAATGTTGCCGCCGTCGGTACGTGGGCATGACACGTAATTATGTTGAACACGTCCTTTCAGCAACTCCCACTGCAATAAACACACAGCGTAAGCCACATAGTTAAGATGAGTCATTTAGCTTCTTGAATGTCGCCCGCTCTACTACAATAAGCAATTTTTCTGTCCACCAACTGTACAGTAGTTGGCGACAACGTCTATGCACGATCGGTCCAACGGTGATACGTGGACACGTATCGCGAAAGGGCTTGCGCTTGTTGATATGACGGCCGTTTAGCTTCTGCCAGGCAGCGGAGTAGCAGATGTAGCGAATCTCGTATAAGCGCATTCTTCCTCTGATTCGTTCTGAGCTGATCAGGATGGTGACAGTCTACACCAAGGACACTGGCCATACAACCAGAAATTTAAGGCTCAACACTGGATGTCGCAATATTCTGTGAGCACTGAGCAAGTTCATGTTTCTGACTTTGCGTCACACGTGCGGCATAAGGTGATGGTGACACTCGATGTGGTTGGGAAGCGGCCACGTTTTCAATCTCGGATCTTGGGCGGGGCACGTTCGGTGGTGCCACGCACGGACATAGGAGCACCAGTTGTCCGGTCCCCCACACTCGTTCCATCCTCTCAAGACCCTGGTAAATCGAAAAGCATACCGCGATCTAGATGCACTAGATATTACGAATTAACTATACTTAGTAACAACGCTATTAGGCCCACAACAACCCCAACCCTTGGTCTCGTAATGTGCAACCTTTCAGCACTTACGATACCTCCCAGACTGCCACAGTTTATGCATGACAGCACGATATTTACTCTTCCACCAATCCTCTACCTCAGTCAAACGGCTCTCGCTTGGTCTTGGGCAGAAACATCACGCATCAGTCCTCCGCTCAAAAGGGACTCGCAAAATTAATCGATACTTTCGGCAGCAGGCCCTGTAAGAGCGTTTACACGCTTCCCTTTGGACGACATGTGGATTACTTACTTGGGTTCCATCGGCCATCAACGTCTTCTCTGCCGCCCCGACCATGACGAGCTTAATGTCCTCTAGGCGCAGGCCGAGTCACTGGTATCGTAACCCTGATTTATTCCTGATCTACTAGAGTCGCTGCTCCTACAGAACTCCCTTCATTGCAACCTTGGCGCGTTCTGTAGCGCATCATCCACATCTACAGTGACTACACCTCCAAATTGCCTAGAGGGCCGCAGCGCATACCTTAAGCCAAGTGCCTCAACCCGTTTGTCGAACGATACATCTTCACTTCCACAAATTTCCGCAAATGTGTCCGACAAAGTAGAATCCGCCAAATAAATGATGTTAGAGGCGATCGAATCCGGCTTGATCGGCAAGACCGGCTCTACATAAAAGCATAGCATTATGGATGCAATGATCATGACTGCCAAAATGCCTACGCTGGTCCAGTGAGACACAACGTATGCGATGTAGAGCGTTCCGCTGTCGAAGGGTATCGTTGCGAGTGTTATCGGGAGTATCTCGGAAAGAAGAGCTACAACCGTTATAACAAAATATACGAAGTGGCGCGCAGAGACTGCAGTAGCGATATTAAGTACCGGATGTGACGGTGGACTCAGTAGTACAGACTCGCGGGCTGTGGCGTTTCCTTTTGCAAGCCTACTATAGGGAACAAGAAGTGCAATATCTTCAGCTGTATTAGTTCCATAACTATGCAGGAGACAGAATCAGCTTACCTTGGAACACGAAACGCCAATAGAAGCTAATAATGACACCGACTCCCGTAAGCAAGAATTGCACGCCAAAACCTTGTCCGCTCATGAAGTTTTCGAAGCCAGTGTCTCCGCTTGTGTAGTGGTAAGTGAGAATGACTGCGGTCAGACCTATCAAGAGAAAAAGGAACGCGATAGATGAGAATCGGCGTCTCGCAATAACCGGAACAATGTGGCTTTCATTATGTAGCGCAGGGTATTGGGACTTTTGATCCTGGCGTGTCGAGTTTTGAGGGCCTGTTTGGATGCTCACGAGGCAAACGCGTGTCGAACCATCATTCTGAGTCTCTGAAACGAATTTGTATCTAAACCCTTCCAGTAATTGTTTCATGTGGTTTTTATGTGTTGCAGCGCTCAAGGTCTTTGAGTTTGATCTGATTCCAGTACCCCAGAGAGTAGCGGCTAGCGCCGCTATGCTTCTCGGATCCGAAGAAGAGACCCACTTCTTGTGCCGCTGGAGGATTAGAACGATGATGGTGGAGCTAGCCATAACGGCTAGAAGTGCTTGGATAATTCTCGCCCCTGGGACGAAAACTCTTATTCTCCCTGTGCAGCCCAAAGTAGTGTGATCGCACTTTCCGATCGTTTGAATTCCTATAGTCTCGGGAGCGAGAGGAGTGATCAGCGCGCTCAAAACAGCGAGAAGTACAGTCAATGGCCGCGTCCATTGTCCGCTCTCTATGGCCAAGAGTGGCGATATCGGGGAGATCATACTGACGGTCAGAGCTCTCTCGGCAGCGGCTCCGCTTGGTGACGCAAGACAGTAGAAAGGTTCCATGGAAGCGGTCACACGGCTTAGGATAACCCATGGGACGGTGAACATTACAGATAGCAGCGTTGGAAGATAGGCTCCTTGAATGTAGTCCCATGTACTACCAATGTGGCCGTTTTGCTTCCGAAGATAGGAGTTCGGCGCGGGTGACGTTGCATTGGTATTTGTAGTTGCGGTCGATGTCTCGATCCTTAAATAGGCGCTACTAGCTGCTGTGGATATTGGAACAGGGATTGTAGTTGCTGTCTCGATCCTTAAGTAGGCGCTATCAGCTGGTGTGGGGAACGTTGGAACGGGAGTTGTAGTTGCGGTTGACGTCTCGATCCTTAGATACGCGCTACTAGCTGCTGTGAATTCTGGGCAAGAATTGCAGGGCGTAAATGTCAAGGTCTCGCGGATGGCGCCTTCGTAATCCGTTATGGGCAGATCAGGTGCCAAAGATAAATTAGACTCGGGAGCGGGGACGACAGGCTGAGAATCGAATTGTCTGTGTTGATTGGCCAGACGGGTTTCAACAACGGTAATAGTCTTGAAAATGCTGTAATCTTGCGTGGTAGTATAGATGTGCTGTATGTCTGTAGACCCCCGGCGTTGTTTTGGCGCAAAGATAGGGTCATCGACACTCGGAAGTGTGCGACAGGCGTACTCTACAAGCCCTATCAGTACCAAAGAAATAGTGAACAGCGTTATCAGCGAGGCAGGGTGGAGGATCGCAGGACGGAAGGTATTCTGAGACTTCATGCTGCGAATCAATGACCTTGAAATTTTACTGGCAGGTACAGTCGAAAGTGAAAAGTCGCCAGAAAAATTGCAAATTCGACGTAACCGATCCAGCTATCCTATATACACAACAGTCCAAATGGCATGATTTTTCTAGGTAGGTTTGACGGTGAGGTCCTAGCGCATTCAGCCGCAGTATTAGATACAGCGCCACCACTCTCGCCAAGTTGTTAACCTAGTCTCTTTTGAGTGGCTTCTCAGTCGGCTCATGGAGTCAACCCGTACTGTCGTAAGAGGGTATCGTGATTCGGATAGCCTAGTATGTGGCCCGCGATCTGGCGACACGTGCAGCCATGCAGTGCATAATGTTCAGTTGAAATGATAGGCAGCGAATGGGGTGTTTCGATGCACTCGGCAAGATCCGAGGCTGAGTGAAATCATGGCTTCGCTTAACAGTTCTTTAGCACCTCAGCCCTGCGCCATCCTTTTCCGTTGATTGGATCCAATTTCGGGAGGTGTGAATAAGAAAGTTCTCACTTAGGCCAGCGGGCGCAATTAGTTCGTATACTCAGGTAACCCTCCGCAGTAGTGAATATCTTGTCCTGCATCATACTGAGCGAAGATATGCAAGCCCGCTATTGCCTGCGACCCGATGAACACTCATTGGTGATCACATCATGTTCGACGCTCATTGATCTCTTTGCAGGTTGCATGCATTCAGCTTTCAAAATTCTAGATAAGCTCGGCTGCGACGTAAAGCCGCTCGAGTTCTTCGGTCTCTCATACACAAGGCGTGCGCGTTGCTCACACACACACACACACACACTCAAGATAGATACATGTACTCGACCACTCCGAGTTTACGAAACTTTGCATCGAGAAGACGATGTCAAGAAGGAGTAAACCGAGGCTGAGGTTGGGGCTGATGCCATATAGATCGGCGACGCGTGTTGCGAAGTCACAAGTCCGATCCAGCTCCAAGCCCAGTACTACATCCGCCATAGTCGAAGCTCTTCATATCGAAGCAAATATGTTTGATCCAAGAGCAACTTCAAACCACGGCAGGCACAAGGTAATTGGGAGGATCGATCACGCCGGGATTTTCTGGAAGGCGTTTCTACATGATTACAGTAATTGCCAGCGTTGTCAAAACAGATATCAAAGAAGCGCCATCTCATCAGTCGATGGCCTCAAATCTCCCCGAAGCAAGCACAGAGGCTATTGATGTGGAGGGCAAAGTGATACAAATGCCGTTGAACCCAGCCGGCCACCGCGAGGTTTTTGCCTACCGAGTACATGAAATTCAGTGTGGCTGGCGACCTGGAGATTTCTCTTACAAAGCGTTCGAGTTGCCGAGCCAACATGAACTCTTTCGTTGATTCGATGGACGTGCTGATGACAACATGTACGCACAACGCTGCCACGATATCAAACATCTTATCGCAGTAGAAGTTTGTTCCTAAACACTTAGCTTTCCTATATGCAGTTATATACACGTAAAATCTGTTGATTATAACTAAAGCTATAAATCTAATGGAGTTCTAGAGAGGCCTTGTAGAGCTATAGAGAGCCACTATGACGCTCGACGTGAGTCACTGTTTCCAAGCGTCCAGATTGACTTTAGTTCCGATAATGCTGCATTGAGCACTGCGGAGCGCCACTCCGAATCGGTCATGATAGTAATGAGAAGTGTCGCTGGCTATGTTGGATTAAGACACGCACGGTTGCAGAACGATGAGCATTCGTCGCACCGCTCTTCATGACTATTAATTGCCAGAGTGTTGGAGCGAAGAAAGCGTTTCTCTGCGGTCCGCGACGCCTATCGATTTCCAGAGCTTTCACGTTGCGGAAGCACGTCTAGACACAAGTACAACACGAATGAACACTGGTGCTTCTGCCTATTGCAACAAGGCCTTCGTTCTCATCATCTCTCATAACCCCTTGACGACGAGCGCAACCTATTCTGTTATGCACAAATCTCATCTACTGCCTCGACGCCCTGGCACACCTTCGCAGCCTCACAACGAACAGAAGCCTGTTGTCAGTTTTACCAACAATAAAAGATATCTCCAGGGAGCAAATCGATTGTCTTATCCGAAAGATGTGGGTATACATAGTCTGGGTAAGGGAGAACACAAATCAGCATTACGCATCAGCCCGGAACGGCCAGCAAGTATGTGAGCTGATCATGACAATATGGGGGATACTGAGTGTTCTGCTGACAGATTTGAAGCCTGCAACATCGCAGCTAAGATCTGCAAAGGTGTATCGCGCGCCGCTTGGCTTATTGTCAGGGCGTCGTGGTAGCAATGAAGCCTCAACAGCGCTTCGATTTCTTTCGGCTGAGACGATACAACGGACATGGCCCTGCTTGCTTGAGTGATTTGAGGTTGGTAACTTGAATGGTATGAGTGTCATAGAATTGCTTTTGTTCATGTAGGGTCTCTAATGCGTCTGAAGAATAACAAAGGAAACAAGAGAGAAGACATACTTCAAGAGCATCATACATTAGGCGTTGAACGTGAGTCTATATGGGAGCCGCTGACATTCGGCAAAGGAAAACATAAGAAGGAGGGCATAAAGATCGTGGTGGTGATAATGGTGGTGGTAATGGTGAAGAAGGCTGGAGCGCTCTGAAAGATCCCGTCGACTGGGGAGGGGACTTTTGTCATGGTCAGACGGCAAACACCATGCCACCGAAATACCCATTGAGGTCGAAAAAGTCCGAGAAGACGGCATCGGTTCCAAAGTCAAATTCTCCGAGATTTACGGAGTCGCTGCCAATGTCGCTGCCAATGTCGCAACACAAGAATGCGTCGAGTCCACCATCACAGGTCTGCTCGTATCGAGTACCCAATGGCTCCCCGGGCTTTACTTCATCCTTGTCCATAGTTACAGAGCTTTCGAGCTCGTCCCCAATTTCGGTGCCGCCGGGTTCGTTGTAGCAGATGTCAAAGGACTCTTTAGGTTCATCCTTCACTCCTACTTCGCGGGTCTGGACATGTACCATTGTGGTTCGAGGGATCATATGGTCGTTCCATATGTGGATTGCAACTTCTCGTATGTGTGAGGATGTGATCACTCCCGTGTTGACACAAAAGGACGAGTTCCTCTCCTCGCATTGGAGACATTTGAAGCCGTTAGAACCTCCGCGACAGTCGGTGTTTTTGTATTCCCCTAGATGTTCCATTATGAAATGGTCCAAGAACTTTGACTTCGATGTCCATCGTCTTTTCTTATGCTCTTGGCACGTGCCCCCATTTCCAGGACATCCATATGGCATCACACGCGACGTGTCCTTGACTGACTTTTCTTGATTCGGTTTCTTTCCCTTCAAAGTCTTGTGCGGCCGTTCGGTGTTCTGGGAAGAAGGAGCCGGCCCCTCGTCAGGGTCTTCGGACATCTTCCGCTTGAGGTTCACATCCGCTTTCAAGACCGGTAGTAGAAGTCGTTCTAGTTCATGTCAGCTTGTGAAGATACCGTAGTCATGTCTGGCCACTTACCGTTCGCACGTATTATCCGGCGTAATTCTTCCATCGATAACTCCGAGAGATTATCGAGTATCTGATGAATTCCAGCTTTCTTCGAAGCCTGGTGTGTTTGGACACTCAACAGAATCTCCGCTCCACTTGCGTTGGCCAACAGCATGTTGCGTATGTTCGTATTCTGCTTTGCGGTGCCTCCATTAACCACGATCTGCGGATCATGATGATCGAGCTTCGAAGCCAGCACTAGGGCGGCTTGTGGATAGGCGGGATATCCATTGGTAGGGAAATTGATTGCATGATTCATGACTGGAAAATGTATTTGGATTGGGTTACGCCTCTCTTCAAGATTGGAACGATATTACTATGAAGGTACCGGTAGGTCTTCAAAAGAAAGGAATGTCGGAAAGAACGGGAATCAGCGTGATGGTAATGCGAAGCATACCAAGAGGACCGTACGTGGAGGTAGCTGCTGATGATAGCGAGTGAATGATTAAGTCGACGAGCCTGCGACGAAGGGCGTATAAACGAGCGTGACGATACTCCAAAAGTGTAAAACGAATCGTGTGTCAATACGGGTGTTGACGATAGCGAGTGGGCGATCGAGACGACGAGCCTGCGACGGAAATTATCTAAAAGAGTGTGCTGGTACTTCAACAAAGTACCAAAAGGACTGTGAGCGGGTAAGAGTTTTAATGATAGTGAATAGAGAATTAAAATGGCCGGCGTGCGATGGAAGATGCGCCGACAGAGAGTATAAAAGAAGCGCGAACACGGACGACATTTGGTTGCGGGGAACTGCATGAGGGATCAGCGCTAGGTCTGATAGCTCTCAAAAGTCGCGTCGGCAGACGGTGACCGGGTGCATGGTTAAAGTGGAGCCCTGATGGGCAGTGTTCGCAAAAGAGGGTGGCCTCTGCAGACGAGTTCAGCCTTTCGCAGACAAGGTCAGCAGTGTTCCGACATGGCGACAACCACTAGACACCTGCAGATGAAACCATTTTACCGAGGCGTGTGGGAACAGTCTCCAGTTGCGGTAGTAAATTGGGAGTGAACGACGTTCGTATGAGCGAGACACTTCAAAAGTAACGAATCGCAGCGGAGTCGGTGTATAGCCCGGTTGTAATTATGAGGACCCACCTCTACCAGGGTGACTCGATGTTTCAGACTCCCACCCCCTAACCCATGCTCACTGACGTGGTGCTGTCCTTGGCACCCTTCCAGAATTGTAAATGTTTGAACATTTTAGTCACATGACCGTTAGTCCGATGGTTTCGCCTGTGGCAAATAGACGTTGCAATGTTGTCGGCGAGTCTGTCAGGTAGACAAGATCCCAAGTTTTCTCAAAGCGGTCACCGCTGCAATAGTCAAGATATCAGTCAAGTGTATCAGCATCACTGTGAATCGAGTGACGTAAATACTCTCCTTCTCCTCTTGCACTTTCGGCTCAAGATGAGTTACATCGCACTTCACATTGTATCTTGCCTGATATGGGACGAGGCAACTCTGCTTCCAGTGGCAGGCAAATGTGCGTCGTGTGCGCTGAGCTAGTGTAGGAAAGGTGTTGCAGACCCGACATTGAAGCTTGATCGAGATGCGCAACCATCAGCATGTGAGGGCCCAGGCTGACAGCGCCGATTAGCCGAGTGGAGGACTGCTTGCAGAAGGCACAGAGCGAGGCAGCTCTCTTCGCGCGAATTGATGGAGAGGGGCTGTGAACGATTCATCTACTGCAATACGTATCGTGGACGTAATCATGGCTTTTTCCTCGTCAACTCTTGTTACAGCAGCTAGTTGCATGATCTTGCAGTCGTCCTTTGGTGCCACGCCTGAACCTGGCCCTGCACCCAGCACCCATGCCATTCATTGCATGTCAGGCAAATGCCGGTAGCTCTTCCTGTCAGTCATCTGACGTTGCTAGGAAGTTACGTGCATCCGGGCTTACCCTGTCTGTTGACCTGATTTCAAGGCGCGCGCTCGCACGCGCTGCACCATCTCGCATGCATGCAACTCGGCGTGTCGATCTCGAACGTATTTGAGCGCGCCTCCGTGCGCGGGAGAATCAAGTCCCCTGTCACAGATTCTAGAAGGTGCAGGGGCTACGCATCGCAGCACCTTGCGCGTCATCATTTGCCTTGATTGTGGTCGTGCGCTCGGCAGCCATCCGCGCATGGATGGCGCATAGTGCGCAGGCTCATCCTCAATTGTCGGCTCAGCATCTTTTTGGTCCTCTGCCAGGTGTCTGTAATCCACGGGAGGGTTGCGAATGCCGACGCAACAGAGGTGGAGTTGCGCTCCACAGGCTTCGTACTTGCCGTGGATCCAGTTCCTGTGACTTGAACTTCCATCAGTGCATGCGATGAAACTTGCACACCAGTGTCGAAACGTCAATACCGGGCCATCCATCTCTTCTTCCCCTCTCACAGTTCGGTATGGCTGTGCACCGCTATCGCGAATCAGCCCCCACACGCACTTCCTTATCTCTGAAAATTTTTCATTGGCGGTCGATAAAGAGCTTACTTTGACGGCTTGCGCCACAGACGCAGCTTGGCCAAATTTATGTCAATGATGATAATTTGATACTCTTGAGAATGCGCACCGTAACCGCATCGCATAGATCGGCTCTAGGGACATGTCGATAAGCGAGGTGTTTCGGGGCAGCAGGCGCGATCCATGAGGGTTCGCTCGCTCCCGTGGACTAATTTAGACCACGTATTAGCCATGCCCGTTGTGTCCGGAACTTACCACTCACCACCATCTCCGCCCTCTAAGTTCTCTTCTTCTCTTTGCCGACTACAACACCATTACAACCCACAGCGCGTAGTTCGCAGGGTACACGTCGGTCCTAAGGTCGTCTCCCATATTCGGTTCGAACGGACTAGTATTTCTCTCAGGCATAGTTTGCCAGCAACTACCCAAGTTCGGGATGATTGTAGTAGGCATACTTGGTGCCTTTGCATTGGGGACATTGAAGGAAGCCGCTTGCTTCAAAATGCACCAGATGCGCCTATTATGTCATCCCAAAAGGTCTGTAAAGCTACTATGTTAGTTACCGGCTAACGTCAAAAAAGAAGGAAACCGTCACTGACCCAGTCCACTGAATTTGGATCAAGCCACGGAACAGTATCGATCCAATCGTCGAACGAACTTTCAAAGTTTTGATCTAAGTGGAGAACTTGACTTCGATCCGAAGACATTATCATCCTATATCACAAGATTATGTCAGACTGTACACACGGTCGGAAGTGTAGACTTACTGCAGATGACGGAGGACTGGGTAAGCTTTCTGGTAGACAGAGCTGAGATTCTGGAGCGACTCGATACGGTGTACTGCGGCGTTGAAGACGGCACGATACGGCGCCGAGTCAGCAGCCCCATTCGCATCGTCCAGGATGCACGAGGCTAGCGCCACAGCGCCATGCACGGCATATGATCCAGTCAGGCCATACACATACCAGCGATAGTGACGCAGTTGATGCAGCTCGAGGAATTGGCGATGGAGGTCGATCAGCGCTGCTCCTGAGGTGAGACATTTCATCCGTGAGTTAGGGAGAAAACAAGCTTCGTTGCGGCGAAGGCAAGAAGGGCGATGTAGAAGAAGGTAGAGTTGATGCGCATACAGTTGGAGGATGCACCAATGCGCGTGACTTGATGTGTCAAGAAGACTAGGTGATCCGTCTATGAGGAACGTGGAGTCCCACCGCTGCTGTTCTTCAGCGATTTCTGCATCGAGGGATGTCAACAAAATCCTGTCCATGCGGTCAGAGAGCTGACGGCATAGGCGGCTCGACAGTCTGAAAAGTCGTAGTTTGAACATCGTGACGGACATCTGCGTCGGTCTTGTCGACGGCCGTACGACGATATTCTCTTGAATATCGCAGTCGTCGATGTCTGCCGGCATAGTTGCTGGAATACTGAGGAGGTACCCCATGTCGATATCTTGATAAGCCATGACTTGGTTCGTGTGTAGCATTAATACACCTGCCCAGCAGCGTCGGCGCCGTTCAATCTCGATACGACTGTGTAATCCCGAGTGGGTATCGACATTGCAACGCAACGCTATAGCGATATTTGAGGTCAAACCTGTGACGTCTCTCAGCCTATGCTCTTTGCTCGGAGTGGTTCGGGAGTTCGTGATTACCTAGCAGCGCCCAGCCGCGCTCAACGCCCTCGTAATTGCTGATGGTGTAGATCAAGACAAGGAGGGCTTCAAGAGTGGGCAGCCGATGCTTTACCATGAAATTGTCTTGTGAGAGACATGCCATTGCAGCTGCTCGAAGCTGGTATGAGATCGCGGCTCTTTCTTGATCTTGAGGCTGACCTTGTTTCAATCGAATGGCGGCCAGCACTGCATCATCATCCTCCAACGTATGCACAGACACCGAGCACATTGCGAAAAGCAACGCAAGCCAGGCTAGATCTATCTCACGAGGATTCTGTGAGAAAATCCTGTATTGGGCTTGAAATGTGGGGCCATGGAGGATATGGAATATTGGCGACAGCCGCACAAAATAATGTGTTATCAAGTAGTCACAGCAGTGAACCGGTGGTAGTAGAGCCAATAACTCATCCAGAGACCGGGAGGGGCCAACATGAAATGGGAACTGTGTGCTGAGCTGTGGAAAAGTACCATTTGACGTTGACTCGACAGTCTGATCCGTTGGCCGCTGAAGCAGAGCATCCCATGGGGAAGCTGTGTAATCGTTGTTGCTCCGAGTAGCTGGGCACGCATCGTCAAGGGACTCGTCGACCCCAAGTCCGGAAGCCGGTACCAAGTTTCCCACCCCTAGGTCGCTGTGGCGGCTCTCGTCCGGTGATGGCAAAGCTCGCTGGGTTGTGGTAGCCTTCTGAACGTATGTACATGAACTCTCACAACTCCGACGTCGGCATGAGCCACAGGGGGTCTGCCGATCACAGCGTAGTTTATGCCGTCTGCATGCTTCGCAACTGACAGGTTTTCGGGTGCGCCGGCGTACGTTGCTCGCCATCGTAGGTATACTGCGATTGAGATGTTAAAGAGAAGACGTTGGTCATAGAAGCTGTCGCGTCTTGCGAGTGATGTTTCCGCTGAGCTCCAGAAAAAAACGTTCTTCCTGCAGGGAAAGCGGAGATAAGACCTCGGGAAACATCGGTGAACAAGCTTCTTACTCCGAGCACCACTCGGAGATAACAGAGACAGGAAAGCGTCACTGTATTGAAGAGAAAAGATAAATCTCCCTTTTAAGAGTACTCCTTCCTACTATAAAAGGGAATTTTAAGGTCTATATAGATATAGATTAAAAAACTAGAAAGTTATAACGCTGTTAATCTTTACAAGTTTTCTTGTTATATCTATACCTGTTCGGCTTCTCCCTTGTATACGGTGGTGTCAGGCAGAGCTATCCACCATATTGTTGCGGCTAGACCGCAGCGCCAAACACCTTTAGTCACTCTTGGATGCATCTGAGTGGCACTTTTGAAGAGACGTTCTATTGGGGGGTTTTGATGAAGGTTCGGCGAAAGTGAACGACTCGCCCTTGAGGTGCGTTAAGATACAAATTAGATCTCAAACTAGCTATCTCTCTAAACTCAATCCTACAGTCTTGATAGTACAGAACAAGGCTTTCAAGGAGAGATAGAATCCTTCATTGCCGCTGCTTGTCCGCAGCAGCACACCATGAACGTATGGGAAGCATGAGTATCGCGCGGACTTATTTACGGAGCTTGATTCGATAGAGCCAGGTGAAGAACCACACCAACAATATGTTCAGCAAGCTCCAACTCAGCAGAACTGCCCAATCCCTCCATCGATCACCATGATAATAGTCCAGCGTGGCGGCATAATCATCTCCTACGCTGTATCGACAGTAGGCACAGTCGGATGTTGCGTCGGGGTTGGTCAGATACCCAGGATTCGTCGAGAGGAAACTTGCGGTATATTGGGCACAAGTTGCGTTTTGCGGAGGATCAAAAATGGTGAGATCAGATTCTCTACAATGTGCAACGACGCCATGTAGCACGTTCGAGACGGTACCTCCGAGAAAGTAACGCAGTGGGTCGACCCAGAATATCCAGGGGCGATAGAACGAGTTCATGGCGCTGTGAGTGACGAGTGCACCAGAGAAAACAGTAAGGGCGACCCAGAATAACGAGTTCGCGTAGCCCGCGAGGGTGGGATTCGGGAAGACGGCGGCCATGAGGTGGCAGAAGCTCGTTGCGAACAGGGATAGGATCAAGAACATGAAGTAGACATATCCAGCGATGCTTGTGGTGTTGGGATAACCGACCGTCCAGTAAATACACAAGTGTACGGCCGTGTAAGAAAGAATCTGCCAAGGAATTTCGACCAGTGTCAAGGCGGCAAGGAGAGCTTTGTAGTCGTAGATGCCGTTCCGCTCTCGTGCTTCGAAGATAGCCCATCTACTGAACCAGATATCTTGAATATCTGCTGCGGTAGCTGGAATGATCCAAACAATGATTAACATCGCGAGCAGGTAGTTCTGCAGCCCTTGCACGTCTGGGCCAGCGTTGTAATACGAAAACGCGATGAAAAGCTCACAGAAGATGGCCTTGAAGAGTTTGCTGAAGTTGTAGGGCCCATTTCTCCAGATGACAATCCAATGGCGGCAGGTGAGTTCATCTATCTGAGCCCACAGGGGGAGCGCATACTGCGACTTGCTGCGTCCTTCGATCATGTTTGGCGGTTGTTGCTGACCTTGCTGGACCAAGTCGTCAATCTTACGCTTCAATGCAGAGCATTCTTCGGAATCCTTCCAGATCTGCGGCCAGTCCTTGGCATCAGGAGCCTTATTGGTCACTGTGGAGATGATGAATTCGGCTGGGTTCTCGGAAGCGCTCATAGTTGCACCGTGGTCGGAGAAATAGTCGATGACGTGCTTTTCGTGTGGCCCAGTCTCGCCGAAGAAGACTGTTTTCCCTCCGGGCACCAATAAAAGTACGTGGTCAAACATGTGAAACAGGACTGCAGATGGCTGATGGATCGTGCAAACGATCAGAACTCCTTGTTCAGCGATCTTTTGCAGGAATGAGACGATAGAGTAAGCCGCTTGACTATCGAGGCCGGAAGTCGGCTAGAATGTGGAAGTCAGCATGTTTTTTTCGTATCAAGCAGCATGACGATTCCCCACAGATGGATAGACACAACGAAACTCCCTTACCTCGTCAAGAAATAGCAACCCTGTAGGTTTGGCTGCAAGTTCGACACCGATAGTCACTCGCTTTCTCTCCTCAACATTCAAACCACCGTCTCCTGGTTCTCCGATCAGAGCATCGGCAATGGAATCAAGTTCCAATAAGGATATGATGCTTTCAACATGGCGCAACTTGTCCTTGAGGGGAATACTTGATGACTGACGCAATCTTGCCGAAAAGATGAAGGCTTCTCGCACAGTCGTTAGTGGTTCTTGGACATCCTGTTGCATGCAAAACCCACAGGAGCGTGAAAAGGTTTCATCAAGTGGCATGCCACCCATGAGCATCTGTCCCTCTACTTGACCGACGCCCTTGCGCTGGGAGATCGTGTCTAGCAGGGTCGTTTTTCCAGCCCCAGAAGCTCCCATCAAGGCAGTGAGTTGTCCCGGCTTTACATAGCCACTGACATCGTTGAGCAGTTGCCTCTCGTTGCCGTCGACATCAACAAAGTAGCATACGTTGCTGAATGAAAACGTGCCGTGGCCAGATTCGAGGTCGGATTTCTCTTTCGCAGACACATTCTCGGCCGCCATTGGGTCTTCTGCTTGCGTGACTGACGAGTTTGAAGAAACGGGTTCGAGGGGTGTACTTTTGGTTAAAGCATTATGTTCAAGATCGTCCTGTCCCTTCTCCGACGGCATATGTTCACCAACAACAGCACCCCTTTCGAACACCGGACCGCCCGCATTGCCACTCCTGTCGGTCATAACTGTCAAGCCTATCGCTGTGAGAAAAACGTAGATGAACCACATTATGATGATGATGCCAAAATTTCTCCACAAGTTGGACCGGGAGTAGTTGTAGATCATCTCGAGGTACGCAGATCCCGAAACCACGTTGTAACCCTTGGTACTTCCAGGCAAGGAACAGCCCTGGTACTGCATATCTTCGTATCCGGGACCATGTGGAACCATTTGGTCGGCTGTGCAATGTAGATCGATGTCTGCAAATTCATTGCCCATCAATGCCTCTAGTGCATAGGGCGATGGCGAGATTCGTCGAATCCAGGAACCCCATCTGTGCATGGTAGGGACTGGAGGACCATATCCAGCGTAGGTCAAGCAAATAGGCATAGCTGTGCCGGCCATGAAAAATGCGATGTTGAGGTTTGGTGCCCACGCACCAAGCATGCGGAATAAACTCGATACGGCGCTGTAATGAACAAACAGTATCAACTCGAAGATCCAGAAGTCAGATGCTGTCTTGTGTAGACCAAGCATGAAGTAATAACAGCAGATGAACACCAAGGACTGGAACACGGCGACGGGAATCTCGGATATTGTCTGGCCAATAACAAAAGCTACAGGATGAATGAGTCCGAGCTTGTGCTGCTTTGCCAAGATTGACCGCGCTTCGATGGTGGATGAGACTTCAGCCAAGGCATTCAGGAAGAAATAGATCAGCGAGAAGAAAATAGCACCTCCTTTTTCGAAAGATCCTGTAGCAGTCTTGGAGCCATGAAATAAGTCGAACCATTCAAGACAGCGTTCACAGCGTTCAGGAAAAGAACGATGTAGAGATCTCTCTGATTGTTCCACAGCAGCTGGTAGTAGCGTCTTGATGCTTCGAAACTCTGTGTCCAGATTGCCCTCGGCTCAAGGGATTCAGGAAGAGCTGCCGACGACCTGACTCGGTTGACTTCTCCATGGAAAGCAGCAAGGTCTGTTGTACCAGATGCAGCCATCTCACGGTAGGCATCGATTTCATTCAACAGCTTCTGGAAATGGAAACTTTGACGGAATGCATCGCTGAACTCGTCCGGTGTTCTGGGAACTGGTCCTACGTGATCCTCACGAACGACTCGCTCTGATGGTGCGGTGACTGCTGTGAGAAAACCGGGCGTTGTCTGTCGGTCCCATTTGTGAAACCCTAGACTGATGAAATAGTCTTTGGCATCTTGAGCCTTGCCAGAAAATATCATTCTGCCGTCATAAATGACTAGAACTCGATCGAAGCATTCCTCGTACATAGATTCTGAACCCTGGTATATCGTGACAATGTTCGACATGCGCGTGACGGTGGAGATCTTCTTCAGAAGTTTGAGAAATTGCAGTGCAGATGAACTGTCCAATCCTCGAATGGGGTTGTCCCAGCAAGCTACCGCTGGATTGGTGGCGAGGGCTTCTGCCAAAGATACACGTTTCCTTTCGCCACCAGATACTCCGCGAACAAAGGAGTTGACCACAATGGTGTCTTTGGTGTGCGGCATGCCAAGGTTGTCGAGAAGACGGTCTGTCATATCTTCAGAGAAAGTGGTTGCATCTTGCTTGTTGTCTTTCGCAGGCTTCCGCAGGCGTAGGGCAAAGTCAAGCGTGTGCTTGACTTTTAGAGTCGGGTAATGCATATCATCTTCTGCATTGTATACGACTTCCGACCCATGTTTTTTCTTCATCTGTTCCGACGATATGGAAGCATACGAGATTCTTCCTTCGGTGCTCGCATATGATCTTGTCTCGTTGGCAATCATCTTCAGTGTTGTACTACAGCCAGACCCAGGTTGGCCAAGCACCAACAGAGTCTCGCCAGGATAAACGACTCCTGAAACATCTCGAATTATCTTCTTCGTAGATTCTTGTCGGTTGCCGATTAGACGGTAGAGATGATTCAATGGAAGCTTGAGCGTAGACTCCAACATAGCGCGCAAGTCGAGAACAGTGCGAACATCTCCGCCTCTGCCGTATGCGGTGACGTTTTCGAAGACCACACCGAGAGCTCGACCCTCTGATCTATAGAGTGGCAGACGTTCCGGTTCCATACTGTGCGGATTTGACAGTCAGCCGAGTGAACAACGCTACAACTATCTCCACAGGGCAATAGGATGACTTACTGTAGTTTGTACACGAAGTTTTCCGAGCAGAGAAGAAGGTTGAAATTAATTATCGAGTAAGGCGCAGTAGTGACGGAATATGCCAGCTAGAGTGCGGAATGTATACACTTGGGATGGATGCTTTTAGACCAAAAGTGATCTGACAGAACTTTTATACTAGCTCAAGGCACAAGTCCGAAGGCTCGGAAACGTTCCATATCACCTTCTAAAAGAATTTCCGGTGATAATGAACTTTGTGTGGGTCCTTCTATGACCTTTTGCCTATCTCCGATCCGGCGGTCAGTTTAGCAGTATGATCGGAAATTATAATCTCCGGAGGAAGAGAGCGGAATCTGAACCTCGTTCTCGAAATCAAACTACTTACCAATGACCTTGGTATCTCCGCATCGACCGTCAATACTGTATGGGAGCGCTTATCCGCCAATGTGCTTTCGTCATTGGACTCCCTCACCTTTTCTAGAACAGACTCTAAAGGTCCCGTTTCAAGACGGTGTCCGCTTCCAGTAGTTCTCGTTAGAATTATACTATGCTGCGCCCGCGCAGCCCGGGCTGTATGTACTGTCTGTGCTCGCATTGTTGATTGACGAAGCTTCCAAATATCTGGGGTTGGAGTTAGCGGCCTGCTACAAAGAGCATGTTCTCAGGTCAGCGACAGAGACCCATCATCAAATGCCAGTGTCAACGAGAATACCGCCGATGAATATCAATGCGGAAGAAAGGTAAAGGCAAGTATCTGGGGGTAATCAATGACTATTTCGACTAAATTTACAGCGAATGTAAGGTAGAATATTGTTGAAATGAAAGTATGTACTAGTGTGGTTTTCTCACTGTTTTTCGGTATAATTACCCTCCCATGATGCCATCCTTCGAGACAAAGGAAATACTCGCGTGTGCGTAATCATATCGTTACAAAAGAAACTTTTTACCTAGGGCAGATGCGGGTACCGGTAGGCAAGGTCGCCTGCATGGAGAAGTCGTCAACAGCAAAGATGTCGCCCGTCTTTCCTTTAGTCAATACGTCCAGGGAAACAGTGTGTGCTACTCCACGCTTGACTGTAACTGTCCCTGTGATAGACACCCACTTATCCTCATCAGAGTTCTTGGGGATGAACACAGGTGCAACAGCCACATCGTCGAAGTTCAACGTGAACGATAGAGGGGCGCCCGCGGTGGATCCGGAGCGAAGTGGCTTCACCCAAGCAGACATCTTGACCACCGTACCCTCTGGAAGAGTGATACCGCCTTGTGCAATCGTGAATTCTGAAGCCGCGCTTCCAGATGTCATAGCCTTGAGAGCACGGGAACCGGAGCGCTTGTCGCTGGTGGAAAAGGTTCCGGTCCTGAATGCGCCGCTCGGAGTTTGCGACCAGGGCTTGAGGTAATCGCCACTAGTCGATGTTTCAAACCCAGGGTTGATAATATACTCGGACTTCTGGGTGACACAGGGTTGAACAGAAGTGGTTGTGGAAGAGGAGACGGTAGATGACGATGTGCGAGTCACGAGAGTTGTCGGAGTGGGTGTAACGGGAGCAGGTGTGGAGCTCGAGGCTAGAGACGGCGTGCTAGTCGTGGAAGTTGAAGAGCTCACTGTCACTTCGAGAGTGCTAGAGACAATCTCGGAAGAGCTAGAAACTGTCTCCGGTGTGCTAGAAGCGACATCTGTAGGACTGGGAGTCGATTCAACCACAGCTGACGAAGCGGTCGAGATCACCTCTGGTGTAGCAGATACGACATCGGATGAGGTAGGCGTAGCCTCAGAAGTGCTCGATAAAACCTCGGAAGATGTCGCTACTGGTGTAGAAATGGGAGTGGTCTCAGGCGTCGCGGAAACGACATCAGAAGAGCCGGGTGTGGTCTCAACGCCGCTGGAGCTAGGCGATGCTTCTGGCGAAGGAGTAGGAGTAGGAGTAGTCTCCGGTGTTACGCTCGCGACATCAGAAGAGCTAGTCACAGCCTCAACAGTGCTGGAGATCGCCTCGGAAGAAGACGAGCTAGTCTCGACAATTGTGGAGCTTGCGGTCTCTGATGCAGAAGCACTTGGTGTCGTCTCAGGAGTCTGGGAGACCACTGCTGAAGAAGTCGGGCTAGGTTCGAGAGTGCTTGTGCCGACTTCTGAAGACGATGGGGTAGGAGTGATTTCTAGAGAAGATTCTGAACTAGCTTCAGGCGTCTGAGAAACTGCGTCGGAGGAAGTTGGGCTGGTCTCCGGAATTACAGACACGATGTCTGAGGATACGCTGGCAGTGGGCTCGGGTGTGCTGGAAGCGACGTCGATAGGAGTGGTAGCCTCTGGAGTTGACTCAGACGTGGTGGGAGTGACGTCTGAAGAGCTAGAAACGACGTCGGTAGGACTGGGTGTGGTCTCAGGAGTAGGTTCCGGGGTGCTTGAAGTGACAACTACAGACGACTCGATCGAAGAAGCGGAAGGAGTAGTCTGGGGAGTGTTTGAAATAATCTCAGTAACTGATGAGCTTACTGCAGTCTCGGTCGCAGAGGTGCTGGTAAGAATTTCGCTCGAGACAGAAGATGACTCTGCCGCAGGTGTACTTGAAGCAATCGACACAACATCGCTGGATGAAGAGGCAGACGCAGAGAGAGTGGAAGGAGTAGTCGACTCAACAGCAGGAGAAGAGCTCGACGACACTATGACCACGCTAGAGCTGGACGGTACGATGACCGAACTCGACGACGAGACTGACACAGTACTGCAGTCAACGGCCACAATAGAAACATCATCGATGTCAAAGTATGGACCATCGGAGGGGTTGTTGTCGACACGGAACTCAAGCTTGTGCGTAGCCTTCGAGACGGTGTGAGGCGTCGACTCGGTATTGCCGACCCTGACCCACTTCTTATCACCATTGACAGGGACGACATTACCAAGCTCAGTGCCATCGAGGTAGATCCTGAAACGCTGGATTCTCTCAGTCTCAGACCTTAGCGACTTGAACCATGCGGATACCACGACCTTGGTGCCCGAAGGGATATTAATGTTGTAGCGGGTGAAGATGGCCTTGTTGTTGTCTTTGCTGTTGTTCTCGGTACTTGTTCCGCGGATGAAGTAGCTACCGGAGTGGGCGGATGAAGCGTCGTTGACGATGCTGACGGTTGAGCGGCTTGTATCGATGGTGTAGCCGCTGAGTGCTCCAGTCTCGAAGTTGCCGTTCGAAACGTAGTTTGCTGATCGTGCAATGCAGGACTGAGTTGGAGATGGATCGCCCGACGAAGGTAGCGGGGTCGCGACAGGTGTAGAGGACACTAGGATTGACGACGAAGTAGAAGATGTTGAGGGGAGCGCTGCAGACGATGATGCAGAGCTGGAGGGCTCAACGGTGACAGAAGATGGCACAACGCTAGAGCTGGTGGGGGTTTCGCTAGCAATGGATGGAATGACCACGCTGATAGTTGGGAGAACAATTTCGCTGGAAGAAGAAACGACTTCACTAACAGTCGAAGAAACCGCATCACTCGGGGTGGAAGAGGCAGCAACTGACTCGCTGGTCTCGATTGCCGACGAGGAGGATTCTAAGATGGTAGTAGATGACGCAGTTTCGTCGACAGTTGACGTAGTACCCTCAGTAAGAACCGAGCTCGAGATATCCGACGACAGTGCTGGTTGCTCGGTGCTAGTCGGAGTTACCTCAAAGCTCGTAGTGCTCAGCGATTCAGTCTCGGTTATTGTCAGAGTCTCTTCGTTAGCAGATGGTGTTGATTCGGAAGAGCTTGTAACAATGGCCGAGGGTGTAACGACATCGGAAGTGACAGCAGAAGGCGTGACGTCCGCATCGCTCGAAACGGGAGTAACATCCACACTTACTGTAGATGTGGAGGAGATCTCGACGGACGAAGATACGATATCGGAAACCTCGCTGGCGGTGGAAGACGAGCTCTCAGCAACTGGAGTAGAAGCCACAGGCGACGTGGTGGTGACGGTGTCGGTCGAAGAAACCACGTCCGGGCTTGCGGTTATCGTCGACGACGGTGTCTCTGTCAAGGTAGCTTCGGATGAGGTCGAAAGCTCGGAGGAAGAGGCATCGGGAGTAGCAACAGCAGACGAGGATGAAAGCTCTAGAGTAACGACAGCGGCTGAAGACGAGATGATGATCTCGGAAGAGACGGCGGCAGCCGATGAAACAACTTCCGACGAAGTAATGATTGGCAAAGAGGAGGATTCGGGTGAAACAACGGCGGAAGAGACGGCCTCTTCAGAAGACGTGATGGAGGTAGAAGATGCTGCAACAACCGAGGAAGAAACAGCAGGCGTCGAAGTAGCGCTCGATGACGATGATGACACAAAAACGCTGCTAGACCTCGTTGGCGTAACAGAAGACGATGTTGACGACCTCAAGGAGCTCGACGTCAAACGAGTGGAGGAAGATGTCCGACTGCTAGACGAGCGTATCGATGTCGTGCGGGTAGAAGAAGGCCTAGCAGAGGAACTCCTCGTAGGAGTTGTGCGTGTAGAAGTCGTCCGCGTAGACGCTGATCGAGTCGAAGACGACCGGACAGAAGATGATCGGACAGAAGATGATCGAACAGAAGATGATCGAACAGAGCTAGTAGTCGATCTAGCAGAGCTAGAAGAAGACCGAACGGCCGATGAAGAACGAGCAGAAGTCTGCAAAGTGGACGAAGAGCGAGCGTTAGGACAGATACCAAAGTCAGACTTGCAACCAGCGCCGCAGTGAGCAGTGCTAGAACCGCACCACCCATACTCAGAGCAGCAGTCTCCAAAGCCAGATCCAGCGCAGACGTAACCAGAAGATCCACCGCAAGACCCATTAGGAGAAATCTTGCTGTCCGGCTTGTTCGTGCAAGTGCCAAACTGGGGTTTGCAGCCTTGAGACGTCTCACAGTGGGCGCGCGAAGAACCACACCAACCGTACCTGGATGTTCGTTAGTCCGCTTGGTCAGAAGAGTCAGATTTCGTGAGTTTACGTACTGAGAGCAACAGTTGCCGAAGCGTGAGCCCTCGCACGTGAGACCAGTGGTTCCACCACACTCCCCTGTTTCCGTAATCGCAGCAGACGAGACTGCCGCGAGGGCAGTCAAAGAAGCCCAGAGGAGTGCCAAACGCATGATTGCGATATAGATGAACGAATGTAGACCTTTGTGTCAGAACGAATGATGACACTAGAAGGGAATCAACTAGAGAGAGAGAGTCGAGTGGGAAAGCACAAGAGACGATGAGCGAGTGATGTCTGCTGTGGAGTCTCCATTCCGCGCAAGAGACATGATCATATATAGTCCTCAAATCCATGGAGAAAAGCTTGTGGCATAGAGGCTTTCATCGAATCCCCATCCCAGGCGTCACCGACACCGAAAAGAAACAAAAGCCACGGTGGAAAGTTATTTTCGTCAATGGTAGAGCCACAGACTTGGCATTGCCATGCAGGTTACAGTGACGACGTGCCTGTCATGGCCCCGAACATGCCCATGTAGGTGATGCGCTGACCTGCACAGCGTTTAGGTAGATCCACAGGCGATAAGCGAGATGTGATGTTCTCCTTAGCTGGGGAGTGAACGAGAGTACTACGCCCCATGGTCCGACAATATCTTTCGCGCATAGCCCATCGCAATCGATAACGATGATCTAGACTCTAGTACCTGCAGGAAAGGCTGGACGGGGCTGCCGAAATGTGGGGTTGGGGTGTTTGAAATGTCCACGGGTGACGATCCCCGTCGCGTCCTTGTCGTTGAGGCTTGATCAATTAGCGCCGAGGCAAGCAATTGCAAGAAGGGGGCACTTAGGCGAGAGCCAAGATGTTGAAACAAGCAATTATCCGCCAGAGCTAACGACTTGACACCCGTTTGCGCGTTGCGGCTGGCTGGAGTCCTGGCTCGCTAGGGGATTGCGGTCTTGCCTGCGGCGCACGTGGCGTGAGTTCCTGGAGCCAACGTTCATGCGATTGGGGCTCTTGGTATCGACCCGTTCCGCTAGGTGTGACTTGCTTTTGCGCTTGACAATGTTGCGGCTTTCCGGACGTCTAGACTGTGCTCTTTCATCCCTTGCTCTTGCGTCTGCCACGAGGGAAGGCGCTTCGAGGGGGTCATCTGTTACGTCCGCGAGGATAATTCGTAGGGGAGAAACTACACCCCTCATGGTGTGGCTGATCTAGGAATGTATATACCTTGGTTAGCAAGTATTGCGCGTATTAGGTAGCGCAGTGTATCACGAATTGTACTGTTACAGTGTGTGTCTAAGAATGACCGCGTATGTACACTTGGCTTGGCTCGTACGGTACCTGCATTAGTGTCCGGATGGCGTTCACGTACTCAGCTGGCAAGCATCTCGACTCAACCAGTACGCCTGCTGTCATGCCAAGACGTGGCTGGGGTAGATGTATCAGAGGAGAGAAACATAAGCGTAGCGGGATACGTCCGCTGCACTCAACAATCCTATCGTTTTGCGCGCCTCCGCATGACGGATGCTATTGGGGCTGAACGGTCGAATCAAGTGGCGGATCAAGCAGTGTATCGATCAGATGAGTGCGAAAAAGATCAGGGGGAGAGTACATGTGAATCACGATGGAGCTAGGAGCTCCTTCCTTTCCCACTCAGAAGGGCAGCAAGGGCAGCACCACCAGTACCAGCTGAACACTTTGACAACCATTACTAGCAATAACAAAGACAGTGGTGATGACGGTATCAAAACAAGCAGTTGAGTTTGTTCTACTATAAGCACCCGGTGCTGCGCGTTGCAGTGATGTGTAACGTGTATTATCTTCGAGTATTAACTAAACCCACCACTCATTGCAGTGCTTCCAGCTGACACAGAAGGATGATTGCTTTGTCGAATCCTTTGCGAGTTCAGACACTTCCGAGCATTCATGAACGTGTCGGAGTGGCTCGGCACCCGTACAAGGTATGCCACAATCTCTGTCCACACGTACAAGCTATGGTAAGACGCGGCTAAAGTTGCATTGCGAGATCATTCCCTCGGAGCCACTCACATCGACCCGTCGGTGGCGCTGCCGAATCCGTCAAGCCAAGTTCCTTCTTCCAGTCCGCAGCATCCCACGCAAGCAGATGCCTACCAATGCCTCGATCATCCCCACGCCATCCCCAAAACCATGGCGATGCGCCAACAACCCGCACAATATATACAACAACAACAACGTGCCATCCAAAAACGCCTTGGGGGTATCAAACGCCATATAATGCCGTAAACATATCATATCGTCGTCCATGCTTCCGGAAAAGAGATGCAACTCAAGGATTGGAGTGAACAAAGCGCGCGCCCTGACAAGGCGAGCGGGCTTGCTTGAACGCCTTGATCCTTGGCAACATCCATCCACTCGTCCACCTCCGCTCGCCCTCACTGCTCTGGTGGTGACCCAGTCGAATGGAATAGCCAAGGCGGCACTCATTACCGTCGTGTTCAAACTGCAGACATCTGCCATCGCCCACACAAGCCTTCTGGCATTTGTCAAAGGACTTGGCCGCTGTTTTGCCCTTTCTATATACGACGTCCTCAGACATGTTGGACCAGTCTTCCGCCTTGTCTTGCAGATTCGGTTCAATCAAAGTGAACAGCTCTTCGAACATGAGCGGCCTCTCTGGATGACTCCGCGCTTCTTCCCACTGTGCCAATCGTGTAAAGTCATCTCCGCCGAGATGATGCATCGTCAAGACCGCCTCGCACCACTGCTCGTTGTCGAAGCGCATGGTAATTGGCTTCTCGCCGTTGAACATGGGCCAGTATCCTCGGAGTGAGACACCGCTCTTCTTCAGCACCTGCGCCAGCATCTCGTCGCCGCAGCACTGCTTCTTGACATCGACGCCAAAGAAATGGGTACCGGGAAAGTGCTTATTTTCACCAAACATACGGCCTAGCGCCATGATCTTATCGAGCGCGCCACGCGATAGGACAAAGCCCGTGCCGCCGTGTGCAAAGACCGTCTTCTTCTTAGGCCAGACCGGGGAGCCGAAGTAGTAGGCCGACTTTGGATTGAACGTGGACAAGAACCGATACATGTTGTCCCAATTCACATACGTGTCTAGTTCTAGAAACACATACCACTCCGACTCCGGGCGGTGGTAACTCGTCCATTCGACCATGGGCAGGAACTTGTATTTGTCCAGACGCCAGCCCTCCTCGCTCTTATCACCACCCGCCGCTGCCGTGCCATTGGAGCTCTGTATGCGGTCATAGACGTCAAAGTCCGGGTTATTGAATTTATATTCCGGGCGGAGGTGAGCGAGGGCGTCGGATATGTCGAAGCCATTGTACGTGTCTTTGCGGTCGGAGAAGATGAGCAGGTCCTGCTTGCAGCGCCCGAGTCGGTTGAGGTAGAGCGGCAACTGGGTTGCGACTTCGCCGGCGCCGATCTTGAGGACAACGGTCACGCGGTCCATGACGCCGCCGGAGAAGGGCGAGCATTCGGTGCCGTAGGCGACGTGCGAAGGAGGCCCGCCGCCGGGTGTCGCAGGCGATGGCGGGAGGATATCGTAGCCGCGCTCGC